GGTCATGATTCAGAACTGCAGACAGTAAGTGAAACGGCATCAAATGTCTGTTTTGTTGGCATTTGGCGCTCAAGTGCTCGTCACTCTTTAGCTCCGCCCACCGCGCGCCTTCAGGAGCTCGGCTTTTTCCGGAGAGAATCTCAAAGCTGTATCTTTCTTTTATAAATATGATCAAACTAAAGACTTTTTGGAGATATGAAGGATGCAGTACGACTCTATAGGTACTCAAGATTAACATGAGATTGGGTGAAACTGTGTGTGTTATGCCCCCTTTAAGGTTAAAAAAAAAGGTTGGATGTATTTTTTACGTTAAAAGACTGGAGTTGAATAAATTGTGGGTGGAAAAAAGTAGGTAGATGAAAAATAAAACCGCAGTAGTTGTAAATAGAATGTGTTGAGCAAGAATTCAAAAACTGTAAATCTTTGATACAGGGTGATTGTGAATGTTAGAGTAAGCTGACTTCATTCGAGGGCACTAGATGTGGTGTTTCAATGTTTGATGTTGAAATGCTCTTTTATCTGTCACAGGTGAGGTGGCCTTTGGTGTGTAACGTCATTCTGCAGCTGTGTGGTCTCCATTAATATTTAACATTCTGCTCTGGCTGCAGGTGAGCATTTCCTATTTGTTCTCCCACATTATACATATAAGCATCAATGGAAAATCACCAGCAAATCTCCCTTGCACTCTGAAGGCTGTGTCTGAAATCATAGTGAGCTGCCCACATTCTTAAGCCACTTATAATGGCCAGAGATGCTGTCTAGCTAGTTTTAATACAAGTTACTGTACCTATAATTGTTTTCCACATATTGCTGCAAACAAGAGTGCTGAGGAAAGAAAACAAACCACCCTTTCCTCAAATGAATCTTATATAAACAGAGGAAAGGTGTGATGCTTTTATTGTACTTTGTAGATGATTTGAGTTTTGAAAGCACACGCTCCTGTAAAGTTGTATGCCTCAGCCTGTTCTTTCACTGTTTTGCTGTCTTTACAACTTTGAGATATGCACTATGTTATCTTATGTCACACTATGTCACACTGATAGCTTGGATTTTTACATTTGTGTTTATAGATTGGTTATTCTTGTTATTCAGTACCTCTTTCACTGTTTTGCTGTCTTTACAACTTTGAGATATGCACTGTTATCTTATGTCACACTATGTCACACTGATAGCTTGGATTTTTACATTTGTGTTTATAGATTGGTTATTCTTGTTATTCAGTACCTTTTCATGTCCCAATATGTCTTAATATATTGGATCAAATAGTAAATTCACAATTAGTAAAGATAGAAATTTTATTAGTTCATTTTAATTTTGTGCTAAAAGAAAACTAAGAGATGCAGTGATTTTTAAACCACTATTTAAGCAAATGATGCCATTTTTGCCATGTCCAAATCATACAATACAAACCAAATATTACAGGAATATTTTATTATATTGCATATTCACTTTTAATAATCAAAGAATTCTGCATTACATGAAAGACTCGTGCAAACTAATATTGAGCTACTTTCAATGTTTCAGCCCTTGAACTTCTTGTAGTGAACTAGTCTGGCGATCTACAGTACCATCTAGTGCTCAGTATGTAATGTGCATTTATTTTTCGTCATAATAATCTGCAGTGGCATTGCAGGAGCTTGTTGCTGATTAATCAACATTGTGGTGAAAGCTTGCTCTTTATATATGCAAATTATATATGAGCTGTGCAAACCTATAATGAACCCAAATTAAGCGTACAATATTTTATCTTCACATACTCTAACTAAACTAAACCACACATCTAATCAAAGTAAAAAATAAATAAATAAATAATAATAATTTTACCATATCCTGAAGATTAAAACTACTACAAATCGCGCATTTATTCAAATATTGTTTAGCTAAAATGGCGTTAAGTTTATAAAATTGCGGGTACAATAATTTAAAAATAAATTCAGGCATAATTTCTTACAATATAAAAAGTGCAATATTACGTAACGCTCATTTATGTGTGTGTATATGGGAGTTGTAGTTTATTTATGTTCGATTCTTTTTAACGGCCGTCCATTTAATCTCGGTCGCAAAACAACAAATCCCATAATGCTTTGCTCGAGTAATCCCCCGCTGCCATAGTGACCGAGCGCGAGAGAAACTAGCAGATAAACGAAAATAGATTTTAGTGTTTATCTGTTAATTTAACTACAGAAACCGCCATTAAATCCTAAAAGAAGAAGAAGAAGAAGAAGAAGAAGAATAAACGCAATGACAGTAATCCCCCGCTGCCATAGTGACCGAGCGCGAGAGAAACTAGCAGATAAACGAAAATAGATTTTAGTGTTTATCTGTTAATTTAACTACAGAAATAATGGACAATTCCGGGAAAGAAAAGGAGGCAATTCAGCTTATGGCTGAAGCCGATAAGAAAGTGAAGTCTTCCGGCTCTTTTTTAGGAGGAATGTTTGGGTAAGATTAAATACATGCTTACTTCCCTATTTATTTACCCGATGAGTCCGCTGGTCTGTTAAGAGATATTCTCAATATGATCACGTTGCCAAGCTTTGGTTTTATGTTAATTATTTAATACTGAGTTTTTAATTGTATAAAAACTAAAAATATATATGAATTTTATTGTACAAGGGCCCAAGCTGTGACAGGCCGCTTTGCGCATCAACCGACGGAAAAAAAGGGCTTGTTCATTAAAATGCATAGTTGATCTTTTTAAATAACGATTTTTGCATGATCATAATGAATTAAATAGTGATAATAACTGATGTGATTTCATGATTGGGCCACCAAGTGAAGGGTTTTGTGTTTGGCGCAGTGGCTGCGGATTTACATTATTTTTCTTGTTTTTATGTCACTATAATAATATTAACAAAGAGGGAACACATGTACAATGGTACTACCGTGTTTATATATGGACTTTTTATTTTAGTAATGTTTACATATGTACTTGAATTTTTAGTCTGTTGCACATTATGTAATAATAATCTAAAGTTAATGTGAAACAAGATATGGTACTATTTTAATATTCATATTAAATGTATTGCAATAAAATATTTATAAGTGTACTTCTTTTAAATATTATGATTAATACAAATAAATATTTATTAAAAATAAATTAGAATTTTAAAATGTAACCTATTTTAAAATATATATTTAAAAGCACAACTTTATTTTAATAATTATAACTTATGGTTTTAAACTTTACAACAATGGCTGATTAAAGCCATTCTTCAGTTTATATCCATATTTTTTGAAGAGCCCGGTGTCGACAGCAACAGTGAGATGCTTTATTGACACCCCAGACATATTCAGCACATATTCAGCGTTATTTGTAGTAAACAAGCTCTGACCTAGTATGGATTTATTTCAAATAGTTTTAATTAATATGATATGAGGCACTTGAAAACTGACCCGACTGAATACTCCCACCAGGACACAAGTTTTCTAGGCTATTACCAGCTATAATTTTCTGACTTAACCCAATAATATACATACAATCAAATTTGACTTGGTAAATCAATATTAACCAGTATTAATAAAGTGTTTACCTTCTGGTTTGTAGATTTATTAGGCAAGCATTATAGTTTTCATTAAGGTATTAAATTGGAAAAAAGACATAACTGAATCTTCTCACATCTTTCAGAGGAAATCACAAAGTGGAAGAGGCATGTGAGATGTACGCCAGAGCGGCCAACATGTTCAAAATGGCCAAAAACTGGAGTGGTATGTGCTTTTTAGTGGTGCAGACATGACGTGCTTCATCTTTAACCAGCGGTATTGTATTATATAATGCTTAAAAGGTCATTATGTAATATACATACAAATAGTTTGAATATGAACCCTTTGTGCATTTTTATATATGTTCAACTGCGAAATATAAATATTTCTGAATTAATATAATCTCATTAATGAAGTTATCCTAATGTTATCTTGAATAATTATACAGCTTTGTTTGTAATTGACAGGATATATTATGATGTTTATTATATATTCATATTCGGCTGTATCCAGCTGCAGGCAATGCTTTC